AGAAAGAATTAAGTGATTGTTACAAGGATGAAGTTATTATTCAAACTCAAGTAAAAAATCATGTTCCATGGAAAAAGCCTAAAAATGAAAGAACCCGTAAAGTATGAAATGTGAAAGAAACTAAACCTCCACAAAATGGAAGCAAATTCTTTTCAATAGGTAAATCATCAAACACATGCTTTTATTGTATGAAACATGGTCACACTTCAAATAAATGTAGAATTAAGTTTTTTGGTGTTCCTGAAGGAAAATACATTTGGGTTCCTATTGTCAAATAATGTGATTATTTCTAACCCCAAGGACCCAAAAGTCATATGGGGACCTAAGTTTATTGTTCTCTTATTTGGTAGGAAACTTCAAAATCCAAGAAATCTATGTGGTATCTTGACAGTGGGTGTTCAAGACACATGACTGGAGATAAAAAGAAATTTACAAGTTTCATCAAGAAAGAACAAGGATATGTAACCTATGGAGACAACAACGAAGATTGAACCCAAAAATGTTGAGGAAGCACTCAAAGATGATCAATGGTGCATAGCAATGCAAGAAAAACTCAATCAATTTGAAAGAAATCAAGTCTGGGAGTTAATTCCAAGAAAATAATCTCATCAAGTAATTGGAATGAAATGAGTATTTAGAAACAAACTTGATGAAGATGGAAACATAACAAAGAATAAAGCTAGACTTGTGGCAAAAGGGTATTGTCAAGAGGAAGGTATGTTTAAAGTCTGATATGTTTAATAATTAAAGTCTGATATGTTTAACAAGAGGAAGGTATTATGATCCAAATAGGGGGAGAAAATATTTAAAGTCTGATATGTTTAATAATTTTAATGTTGCCAGATATGTTTAATAATTTGTTAGTTGTGACAGTAAAAATAGGTTATTATACAAAGGGCTTTAAAGCATATTTTGATCATCATAAAAAGGGGGAGATTGTTGACTATACATGAGTATGTTGCCTGAAGATTTTGATGATTATTCTAGAGCAAAGGACTTGAAGTCTTGAAGACTTATAAGCATTTGTATTTACTTGTAATAACTTTGTTTTATATTTTTGAGTCTGTAAAATTAGAGTCCAAGATAGCCAGCACATAGTCCATCCTCTAAAAGTTCATTTTTATCAAAACCACTCAGTAATAATCGATTATCACTCAGGATAATCGATTATCCTGCATTGAAATCTGTTTTCTGAAAACCTTGCTGGAATAATCAATTATCTGGGTTGATAATCGATTATCCCAGCTGAAATAATCGATTATCTACCCAGATAATCAATTATCCTGGTCCAATTAACTCCTCTGCGAAAATGGTTATGTGATAATCGATTATCACTTAAGAAAATTGATTATCTACGTTTGTTATGAGTTTTGAATTTCCAATTTGGACCAATTTTTGAATGCTTCTATTAATAGACCCCCACTTTTTGTGGGACAAAATTATCCCTTTTGGAAAGTAAGAATGCAAATATTTTTGGATTCTGTTGATAGGGGTGTTTGGGATGTTGTTATAAATGATCCTTTTATTCCAAAAATGACTGAAATGAAGTAGAGGTACCAAAACCATTTTCTAGATGGTCGGCTGAAGAAAATAGGAAAACACAACATGATGTTAGGGCTAGGAATATAATATTGTCTGCTTTGACCCTTGATGAGTTTTACAGGATATCTGTTTGCAAGAGTGCTCAAGAGATGTGGTAAATACTAAGAGTAACCCATGAAGGAACCGATGATGTAAAAAGAGCATGAAAGAACTCATTGATTCAAGAATATAAAATGTTTAGAATGCAACCGAGAGAATCAATTTTTGACATTAAAAAACGTTTCACACATATTGTGAACCATCTCACTGGGCTTGGTAAGACTTTTGACACTAACGAATTAAATGTGAACATTCTTAAATCTTTGGACAGGAAATGACAACCAAAGGTGACTGCCATTACGAAGTCACAAAATCTTTCCACTATGACTATGGCGGCTCTCTTTGGAAAGTTGAGAGAGCATAAACTTGAATTTGGAAGGCTAAACGATGAAGAAGGCCAACATCAAAGGAGAAACCTAGCGTTCAAAACTGAAGTTTCTAAAAACAAGAAAGAGAAGGAAGAAGAAAGTTTCGATAGTGAAGAGGATGAAAACTTGAGCCTCATGATTAAAAAGTTCACAAAATTCATGAAATCCAAAGGAAGAGAATCATTCAAAGGTAAGAAGAATGAGAAAGAAGTATCTTCATTAAACTTTAAATGTTATGGTTGTGGTGAATCAGGGCATGTAAAATCTGAGTGTCCTAACAAGAAGAGTGATGATCATAAAGGAAAGAAATTCCTTACAAAAAAAGGCTACATAGCTTGGGATGATAATGACTCAAATTCGGAGTCAAACGATTCGGAGGTTGAAGCAAATTTTTGCTTAATGGCAAATGATAGTATTTCTTCATATTGTGAGGTAAGTGATTCCGATTATTCTTCAAATGATGATGAGAATGGCTATGATGCATTGCATAATGCATATCAAGAACTATTTGCTGCTTTTAAAGATTTGAAAATTGAATATCTTTAAAAAAGAATTTGAATAAATCAGAAAAAGAAATAGAATATTTAAAGTAAAAAAATAGTGATTTTAGTAGAAAAAGGGAATAAACAAATAGAATGTGCATCATGTAAAGAATATGAACATGAAAATGACATACTTAGATACTTACTTAAAAATGACATATTTCGATATCTCATATGGGTATATCTTTTATTCATATATTCAATGTATATAGAGAGTAAAAATATTACAAAACATCAAATGTTAACAATATCTCAATTATAACTACCTAAATCAAAATAATAACTTAATATTTTTTTTCTTATTTAAAAAATTTCTTAATACCTAATTCAAATAAATGATAATAAAATAATATTCTCAACTAAAACTAACTTATGTTCATATTTTTTCGCTATACCCACATGCAAACCCTAACCAATCAAGGACAAGAGAAAACTTGAATTATGAAGAGAAAGAAATACTTATCCAAAAGAAATTTTTCATATAAGCCTAAGCGGATTTAATAAGCAAGGTTCTACTTGAAGGATTTGAGAATACAAAAAAAAATAGTAAAAAAAATTAGAGAGAAATAATATAAATTAGAAAAAAATATATTTATATGAGTTATTCACTAAAAAAATTAGATTTTTCAATCGACAAAATGCATCAGTAACTAAAAACATCCGTTGATAATTATCCAATTAAATAGTAAAAAAATTAGAGAGAAATAATAGAAATTAGAAAAAAAATATTTATGAGTTATTCACTATAAGAAAAATTGGATTTTTCGACTGACAAAATCTATCGATAACTAAAAACATCCAGTTGATAATTATCTAATTATTATTTATTATAAAATTAAGAGAATTGTCATTGGCAAAATTCGAATCCAATATCTTAGAATTAGAGGTTAATACTTCAACCACTAAACTACTACGATTTTCTAATAATAACTTACAAATATATCCATGTAAATATATAAATACAAATATATTTATATATTTATATATTTATATATTTTGATATATTTATATATTTTGATATATTTTGATATATTTATATATTTTCATATATTAAAAATATATTTTGATATATTTATATATTTTGATATATTTATATATTTTGATATATTTATATATATTTATATATTTTAAATATTTACCGACGGATATATCCGTCGATAACTATCCATCAATAACTATCCGTCAATAACTATCCGTCGGTAATTAATGATTTTCTTGTAGTGCTTAAAAGGTGATAATTTTATAGAAAATAATTTTGTTTTACTTTTTTATTTATAACTTTTAAAAATTGACTAAACAAAATTCATTAATTTTAAATACTCTCCTCCAAATGCTTATAAACACATGTTCTTACACTTGTACTTTCAAAATGACTAAATATTCATAAATATTTATATTTTTAATAAGTTAAATTTAATTTATGTGTAAACTAAATTATTCAAACTGTACTAGTTTTCATAAACTATACTTTTTAACTTAAAATATAGTTTTTAGTTTATGTCGTTTATAATTAATTTTTTTACTTCTTGAAGTGTTTATAAAAAATATCGTGTGAATAATTATATTTTGTCTAATACATCATGTGTATTTTCGTAATTGATATTTTAATATTCATTTTAATTTAATTTGTAATGAAATATGACATTTTTTCTTCTTGTTTTATCCAAAATAAATATGCAGTATATAATAACATTTTAGTATGTGTTTATAATTTTCTAAATATCAAAATCCCCGTTGGTGACATAACTTAATTATATATTTCAACAAATTAACTATTACCAATTTGATAGTTGGTAAAAGTTTTTTAAAAATTAACTAAATTATTTGTGTTTTAATATGTTGCAGATAAAGTATTATTTTTGTCAATGAATATTCAACTTTAGCTGCTTGCTTTTCTTGTAAAATTTCTGTAACACGTTTTATTAAAATTGTGAGAGGGAAGAAGATTTAGAAACGGAACAGTTGCTTCAAAGAAAGAAACGGAACAAACGCGCTTCTTCAATGAACGCAAGCCAATAAGACATCAAACTACAGCCACGTAAAAACAAAAAAGGAAACTTTGAAAATTGGAAATGTCAATGATCCACACCAAACGACGCCGTTATGAAAAGGGCGACGCCGACTGTTTTGCGCAAGTGTCAACGTTGTTTGCACTGTACCGCCTTCAACGGAAAAGTAAAGGACGCTCACGTCTCCCCGTTTTTCTTTCAACGACTTTCTTATTTATTTTTTTGTTATGTTATTCATTCACTTTATATTAATCTTTTTCAATTATTTATCATTCCCCCTTAGACACAACTTCACACTGCGCCATTACTTTCCCATTTCTTGATTTGATCTCTCCGATTCCTCTTCTTCACGCATCAACTCAGAAGAATCAACCAAAAACTCAAATAAAATATAAAAAGTGAGATTTTTTCTTTACATAGTAGATTAAAAGAAAAAAAAAATGAGTTCGATTCATTTGATAAACACCCTTGCTGCTCCATTTCGTTCTTTTTCTCCTCCGTCCCATTTTCCGCAATGCCATTCACCTCTCCGTTCCTCTGCTGTACCGAAACGAACTCGTTTCTCTTACTCGTCTGGGTTCCGCCTTGCCTCAGGTCCAACTCTGAATTCGGTTCCGGTAAGTCTTCTTCTCTTCGGATCAAGCGTCTTTCTTACGCTACCGTGTTCTTTAACATTTCTTTTGCGGGTTGCGTTTTTTGCCTTCTCAGCGTGGGAATGGAACTTATTCAGTTGCTGATTTCATGACAAAGAAGCAAGATTTGCATGTTGTGAAAATCTACACCACCGTTGATGAAGGTGCGCCTCAATGTTCTCTATAGTTTTCTTATGCGATTTACTGTATGTGTTTATTTATCGTTACTTTTCTTGGATTACAGCTCTGGAGGCTCTTGTAAACAACAGAATCAGTGGTCTTCCGGTAATAGATGATAACTGGAATTTGGTAATTTTCTAGTTCCCCTCACTTTTTTGGTTTTGTTCTGTTGTGTTATTTAATACTTATTATAATTATTATTATTTTAAATAAACACATCTGTATTTCTATTTTGGACTGGATTCATTCCTCCTTGAATTTGTTCTACTTCTTTTGGCGCTGCAGGTTGGAGTTGTTTCCGATTATGATTTATTAGCTATTGACTCGATATCAGGTACTATGGATATCAAGGATGCAAAAATTAGAAATGCGATGTTGTACTACTTTGTTTTGCATTTAGTGTAGCAGAATTTATGTTTACAACCAAGTGAATTCAATGTTCATATAGGTAGGTTGAATGGTTTATGGGAATGATTATACTTTATATTTTTTTCATATTTGTTTGTGTAACTGACTTATGGTTTCAGAGATTGAAGATACCGTATGTTTTGTGCATGCTTTAGTCGGAGAATTGGTAGTTTCTGGTTTGGTGGTGAGGAAAGAGGACAATGATACTCCCTCTATTTCAAATTATGGGGAGATTTGGGAGTTTTTATTCCTGAATTTTTAACTTATATAATCAATTAAATATTAATCTCCAACTCCTTCCTTGTTGGCATCTCATCTAAATATTTAATGTATTTAATTAAGAGGAGCCTTAGTAGTAACACAACTTTCTGATACACTTCTAACATATTCCCTAGTATTGGTTATACAATATAAGAAGAGATTCATTACAAATAAGAAGTGGAGGCAACCAAAAATTTGTTGTATCCAAAGAATTTCAGCTAATAGTAAATTGTATTGCTAGCGTTTCTCTTTAATTAATTCACAGCTATACACTGACATTGTTAGGAAGGGTATTTTAGTTAAAGGAGACTATTTTATCATAGTAAGTGGTGCAATTAATCGTTTTCTTTTGATATGCACATTACCATAAACGAAAAATTATTTGAAATGAAGAGAGTATGTAACATTTTTGCCAAGTCTGAAACACAGCCATACTTGAATCCCATTGATGTGATTAATCTTGTGAACATGTTCTCTGCATGCTGCTGCTAAGATTTTGCTAACCGTTATATTTGGCTTTTAGGAGGCCCTCAGAGTGATGCAAACTTGTTCCCGAACGTGGATAGCACTTGGAAAGTAAGTGTAACCATTTTATGTTTTACTCTTGAGTGCGATTTTCTGTTGAATAATGATGGTCAAAAACTAATGTTTGGACATAGTTTTTGATGCAATAATTAATAATTCACCTTCTCCTATTCACAATCAGTTACAAACTTAAGCTAAGCCCACTTTTCATTTGACAGCATTAACTTTGTTGGTTGGATTAATATAAGGAAGACATGAATTATTGAATACTTAAATACTCGATACCAGACCCCTTTATACTGTTCCTTTTTTATAGCAGCTTATATCTGATTCATATATTTTGTTTACAAGAGTTTATTTTGTCAGTTTGGATTTTTATGTTTGACTAATATTCATTGGTAGTAGAATAAGTCTTCTTCCCCTTTACCTTGTCTAAATTGTATCACCTGTTTCTTGATCTACAAGTAGATCATATTTCTCAAAACATGTTCAGATTTCAAAGGGAAATGTTCCATAGTTAATTAACTAATGCACTTCCTTGTGCCTCGGTCTTGTAGGATATAAGAAAAATTCAGTCTGAAGTATAATGTGGATATTTACATTTCTATATGGCCACATTTAGTATGCCAGTGTATAAAACTTTTGTTTAAACATGTTATGAAAGCCAGCTAATTGAGAAGTTCCAATATTGTATTCTACAAAAGTTTTACATATCAGTCAGTTCTTGAAGTTATGCATTAATGCCTTTCTATATATTTGGGTTACCTTTTTATTTCTTGCAAAGGTTCTGTTTTTTTTTTTTCTTTTTTCCCCTCTTTGTCTTGGAGGAGGGATGGGGGAGGATTGAGCTAGTTGAGAAATAACTGTATGACAGACCCATTATAACAAAGTTAATAGAAGCCTAGAAGGCGAACAAATGGAGAGAAAATAAGCAGAGGGATTGATTTGCTGTATCAGTCAATTTGAAGAAAGCAATAGACCAGAAAGAGTGAGCGCACAAGTACATATAAGGGATAAGGGTCATTTCCTTGTAGTCGATAGGTAGGGGTTGATGGGAAGGAGGCCAGGTAATGGTTGAATGGCTTTTGCATTGGTTCGGGTCTGCTTCTTTGTATTAGGAGCCTATATTCAGGTCAGCGTGTAAAGCCTTTTCTTCCATAATACAGTTTCTCTTCTTCATCCGCATGCTAATTTTTTTTTTTTGTCATGCATTTATTGTTTTGGTCCTCGGTGTCTCTGTCATACCATCATACCTCTTTTATAGCTTATTTTTAAATTGGTTTGCAAGATGGTCATATAATTGTTTTTTAATGATTCTGTACACAACATGAAACTCAAACCACTCACGATGTTGGGTGTCACTGTAATTTGGGTATTACTACATCTAACCATGATTCTTAGTAGTCCTTTTGCTTTCTTCTTTTGTTCACTTGCCCTCATAGAAGGGAAATTGTAATCGTTTTGCAAGAACTGTTGTTATTCTATTTAATGGCTGCCCATCTGTAGATCTAAGTATTCTTTTGCACGACAGACATTCAATGAGCTACAAAAGTTGCTTAGTAAGACCAATGGGCAAGTTGTTGGTGATTTGATGACTCCAACTCCACTTGCTGTTCATAAATCGACTAGTCTTGAGGAAGCGGCTAGGTACTGACTTTGCATACATACATATTGAATAATGTTAAATTCTCTGATACTTTTGTTACCAACACCGTATATCATGCCAATATACAAGGACACCAAAATTACCGTCGATTTATTGCTATCTGTGCAACCATTTATGCTAAATATTTTCAGAATTTAAATTCTATAAACGATTCGTAAATCTCAACCATCATGGTTTAGCTATCTAGCATGCAACCATGGACCACCTGATGCCTGACACCATTACCTTTTGTCTAGGCTGTTGCTTGAAACAAAATATCGTCGACTACCTGTGGTAGATGATGATGGAAAGCTAGTAAGGAGATTATCTATTCTCTCTTGCAAGTTTAATTTTTGTGCTTCTTCCTCTAGTGAGTGTTGCTAAGTGATTTTTCTGCGTTCTTGCTAGGTTGGACTTATTACAAGGGGAAATATTGTTAAGGCAGCTCTGCTATCAAAACGCGCGGGAGAGTGGTGATGGTGTTTAAAAAACGTTATTGAAATAGCTTTGATTTCAGGTTGTGCTGGCGAGGGTCAGAGTAACCTCGATATTATTAAGAACTACGATGATGTATCTCTGTTGTATCATATATAGTTAATATTACAAATGTATATGATAGGCTATAAGAGGAGCTGAAAGCAACTTTTGACGACCTTGTGAGATCTTAGTGGTGGGTAACCAACAATATAGAGATAATTGATTTTTCGATCACCTTTATCAGGTTATCACATTGTTTCGCGCATTGGATGGTTGCTAGCATGACTACATCATGTGTTTATGAGTCTGGGACTGATAATTTGTTGCCCTATATTATAAACTTCATATTGTAGATTGCTTAGGATTTGAAATTTATATGTAATTATTCCCTGGTGGATTTCCTATATTGGATTATTGACGAAGTTCTCGACTCTCCGTATCGACCAGCTTATCGGTGATTTGAACATCTCTAGACAGGGTCAATATTTGATCACATACGAATTCTTTATTGAGTGAATTGCAAAAGATATGAATGTTGTTGTTGTTTTTTTTTTTTTTTTTATTATTATTGGTTTAGGAAAGGATTTAAGTGACATTCAAATTTTTAGTTATTTTTTGTCGATAAGTTAGTTCCTTCGCAAGTAATTTTGTCAAGTCATGTTATTTTATTGTCAAGTGTTACATTGACTTCTTTTTCTCGTTCTTAGTTATGCCTTTTTTAAAACAAGTAAATTATCATTTGGGTTTCTGAAAGAATTTTTCATGCAGGTAAGTTCTTATAGTTAGTACTTCACATGTTCATGTTTTTGTCATTCTTGGTTAGTGACTTCATTAATGGATGAACAATTATAACATAAAACATGATGAAAATAAAGTACTTGTCTAATGGTGAAAATATGTTCTTAGATGATACATAACCACTTCAATATTAACTAAATGTGAATAGTTTTCTGTTTGTATTGAATATGTATGAAGCTTTTTTGTCTTATCATAATTAGTTTGGATGTAATTTGATTTGGTTGTATTTACCAAATTTATTTGGTTGTAAGTTGAGTCAAAGTTTATTTTGATTCTAATATGAACTATGAAGTTATATTTTGGGGAAAATATCTCCAAAATCATTACCATTTATTATGATTTTAGGTGCATTTGATATTAATTCATAATTTATTTATTGTAGTTAACACTTTCAATGTATGGTTCAATTTTAATTTAAGGTTTATTTTCAATTTATGCTTTCTTATAAAACTTCCTATATACGATTTGATAAATCCAACATAACTGAACTACTTAACTAAAATCATATTTATATTGTTTATTAAAGTAATAATTAAAAACAATATTTATGTCTTGCGAAGGAATAATCTAAGATGCAATGTTGGACAATATTTTATGTTATAATTGTTTATACAATAATCAAGGTACTATTGTGTCAAGACAAATTGTTTTCAGGGACAAAAATGATACCTTTCCTCATTCTTTTTACGTTTTTAACTTGGAAGACAATGCAAACCAACTTACGGAAAACATGTGTCAAAGTGAAGAAATGGTTATGACTTAACAAAGTAATTAAAAAAGAACTAACTTAGTATCACTATAATGTTATATACGAATGAAATTTAACCTTTATTTATTTTATATTTTTCTATTCACTTTCAAGTATTATCAAACAATAAATAATTGATATTCAATTATTGTATGGACATAAAATATTATTTCAAATTTGGATAAGAAAACCCTACCCAAACTTTTTAAAGTGAAAACAATAGAATATAATATTTATTACTTTTAGTTGATAAGGATTCTTCGGTGTTTACTAACCCTCCATGATTGACTATTAGTTAATATGTTACAAGCATAAACAAGTATGTTAGCTTCTAATCTAATTATAAGTACATAGATTTCATTAAAATTTATTCGTCTTGGTGATTATATCATTTAGTTACAAGTCTAACTTTATTTAATGTATTTATACTATTTTCATCAAGTTTGTTTTTAAAGATCCACTTAGTCCTAATTATGTTCGATTATGCTAGTTTAGGAACAAGTTCCCAATTATCTCATACATTATGCATGTCATTTATTTAGAATTCATCGGTTAATGCATCAGAAGCATATTTAGGTTCAATTTGAGATTTAGGTTTAATTTGAGAAACAAAAATCATATGATTGCATAGTTTACTTAAAGAATGTCTAGTTAATACTCTCTTGTCGATTTAACAAATTATATTATCCAAGGACAAATTCTAGGAGGTAATCCATTCTTTAGGTTGAGCTTCAATTTCTGCCACTAGTTCGATAATTTCCTCCACGAAATCTTTGCTTTGAATCTCTTTTCCAAATAGCTTTAGCTTATTGATTTTATCAACTAAAACACTTTCTTTTACATCATCTACATTATTTCTATGCACAAATACACTTGATTCATCAAATTCCTATGAATTTATAGCATCTTATTATAGAATTTATATGCATGGTTGTTTGTAGAATAACCTAGGAATATTCCTTCATCTGGTTTAGAATCAAATTTTCTAAGATTTTCCTTCCCATTTTTTAAAATAAAACTTTGCATCCAAAAACCTTAAAGTAATTTATGCTGGGTTTTCTACCTTTGTAAAGTTCATAAGGAGTCTTTTTTAGAAGATGTCTTATTAAAACTCAATTCAAAACATGGCAAGTTGTATTTATAGCATCAACCCACAAATATTTAGGAACAAAATGTTCATTTAATATGGTCCTAGCAAAAAGATCAATTCTTTTAACAAAAACATTTTGTTGACGAGTTTCAGGTGCGGAAAATTTATGTTTTATACCATGCTTTTCAAAATAAATGATCGAATTTTTCATTTACAAAATTATTGTCATGATCACTTTGAATATAAGTTATGTAAAAACCTTTACATTTTGCATAACCTTGGTTAGTTTCTTAAAAGCATCAAATTTTAAGTTTAAAAAAAAAGTCCAGTTATACCTTCACTAATCATCCACAATAATCAATGCATAATAGTTTCCTCCTAGACTCATAGTTCTTGAAGGACTTAATAAATTCATGTGCAAAAGTTCAAGAGGCCTTGTAGTGGTAACAAATTTTTTTTGAGAAAAAGAATTTTTAGTTTGTTTTTCCTTTTGGCAAACATCACATATTCTATCCTTCAAAAATTTGAGTTTAGGAAGCCCTACAACAAAATCCTTTGAGACCAGTTTCTTCAAATGATGCATATGTATATGAGTCAATCTTCTATTTCATAACCAAACTTCATTTTCTTTGGATAAAAGACAATTTTGAGTGGAAGAACAATGATTGATGTCAAGCATGTATATGTCATTCAATTTCTTACCAACCAACATGATATTTTTTGAACCAGATTCATAAATCAAACACCTTTCTAGTTCAAATAGCACCTTATGATCTCGATCACATAGTTGACTTACACTGATAAAATTGTGTTGAATCCCTTCGACAAGAAACACATGTGAATAACTGCAATACCCTTTGTACCAATGTCTCTAGAGCTAAGAATTCTCCCTTTATTATTGTATATGTAAGTTATGAACCCTCCAAGTTTAAGCTTTAACCAGTGAAACTTACTGATGGCCCCTGACATGTGCTTTGAACAACCACTATCAAGATACCAAAGTGATTCATTTTGTTGTTCCTGAAAAACAAATCACACAACTTTTGGTATCCTTTTATTTAATGGGTCCATAGAGGTTAAATTATCTGTTTTGTGTGTTTAGGCACCCATTTCTTTCTTCCTTTAGGAGCATCATACCTCTTAATATTACAAAATTTAACATAATTTCATTTCTTTAAATAGTAAAACATGTGATGAATTATGATGCAGTAGGCTTTCTATAAGTGAAAAATTCTTGTAAGTTTTCGATTTATTTCCAAAAACTGGTTTATAACCAATACTAGCTTGATCAAATACACATTTTTGAGATCCAAGAATAACATCTAAATTTTCCTTACCTCTTGGAAATTTGGTTACAATCTTCATTAATATACCCTTCTCTACAACTCGACATAATTCTTACGATCTTTTGATATATTAGCATAATCACATGCAACATTTTTATAAATGATTTCTTTATTTTTAAAGTCACTTTTTTATTCAAGTAATTCTTTTTCTAAAATAAAAACACGGCTTTCAGGCCAATTATTCAATTCTTTAATCTATTATTTGCGGTAGCTAATTTATTAGTTTCATCATGCATTTCATTAAAAGCCTGCAACAATGTACTATAATTGATTTTATTTTCAATAGGAACAAAACTTACACTACTGGAAAATGACTTATAGTCAATCATCAAACATAGATTTGCTTCTTCTTGATCTATTGAAGAAATGATGGATGAAGACTCATTATCTTTCCATGCAATGTAGGCTTTTCTTCTCCTCGATTTTTGAAATTTCTTCTCATGAGCTTAACTTTTTCTGGACAATTCATTTGAATGTGTTCCACAAGAATAACATCTATAGTTAGAAGAACATGTTTCAGTTTTTCTATCAACATACCTTCTTGGTTGACCGTTCTTGTCCTTATTTTTCTTCTTTAAGAATCTGCTAAACTTCTTTACCAATAAACTCAAGTTTTCACCTTCACTATTCTCTTTAGAAATTTCTTGCTCTTCCACCATCTTGAGAGCAATGTTCTTTCCTTTCTTATTTATTGACTCTTATTCATTTAACCTATTAATTTCTAACTCATGTTCTCTGAATTTTCCAAATAGGAAGCAATTCTACTATGACCTGTCCAAACATTTTAATATTTTAATATTTAATTCTTCTTTGTCAAAGACTTTACCTAAACAGATGAGATAATTGATAATGTGAGTAAATCTTTTCTAAACATCAACAATGTTTTTTCCTTATTGCATTCTGAACAATTCATATTCTAGAATAAGAGGATGATTCCTTGCTCGTTCGATGTTCCTTCATGTGTTATTTCTAAAAATTCTCACATCTCTTTTGTTATTTGACACTATGACACCCTGAAAGTTTCATCAAGATTAAGAGCTGATGTTATAATACTTGTTACAATACAATCATATTGCACTTTCTTAGATTCAAAATTGGTTAATTCTACCCAAGATTTTTCAACAACAACATCATTAACTTTATTTGACGAAATATAATGACCATTTTCAATTGCATTCCAAATACCTTTATCAATAGATTCAAAGAAATTTTTCATTCTAATTTTTTAGAATTGGTAATTGACTCCAGAAAACATCAGAAGTCTATTAATCGAAGCCCCTTCTACAAAAGGCAGTTTGTTCTCGACCATTGATAAGCTTTTGGATCGAAACTTGAATAACTTTCAAAATCTTAACCAAATTACCAATTCTCAAAAATAGAATTAAGTCTTTTTAGGAATTGAGAAAAACAAGAATATCAAAAGCAAATTCAAGTATTGAGAGAAGAGAGAAGAGATGCTCAATTTTTATTTAGGTTCACCCAATCAACTTGGGCTACATCTAGTTCTCAGCGCAGTAAATTGAGTTTCACTATACCTTTAGTCGATTTACAAGAATACAACAGTAGATACACTCGGTTTACTCCAATAGCCTATTGATCACCCAAGAACCACTCTTGACAACAATAACAACCCACACCAAGTTACCACCAACCAATACCAATTATTAGGTACCGCAAACCAATGCTAATTGTCAAACACTACATGCCAATACCAATCACCATGTACCACAAACAGTGCCAATCACCAGGCACCACTAACTAGTACAGAAAAGAATTCAAAGATCGACAACACCTGGAAAGATTATACACAAAAGAACACTAAGTGTTGAATCACAATCTCTAAGTAATCTTTTCAAGAATGTAGAACTTATGCCTTCGAATGTATTTTGATTTATCACAATTAAAAGTACACGTTAATATCTTTTCAACGATATTTTTTTATCTAAAAAATGTATGTTATTATTAAGGAATGAAGTGTATTTGATATTTATTTCGATTTTTAGTCTTTGTATTAGAAATATTTTTCTAATTTAAGACTTAGGGGCTCTGGTATGTGCATAGAAATTGGGTCTGGTTGGACTCGAGTCCAACTACATAAGTAAAGTAGGTCAAGATAAATCTATTTGGAGAGATAAACTTGATTGATACCTAATAGATCTAATGTGTAGATATTACGGAGAATAAAATATTAATGAAAAAGATTTGATTACAGTGGAAAATGGAACAAAAATTTAAAGAGACATATCTCTTTTATATTCAGCAGCGTGGTAAAACATTTTCCAGTACACATTCAAAATGATTGATCATGGTGACTCACGATGGAGTTCTAAGTGAGAAAAACCTCAACCCCAGCTCCTCTGAACTCCTCTGAACGCTCTCAACCAAAACACATCCACACCGCGCACAACAACCTCATCCGCCCAATCTCTTTTTCCCTCTGCCCTCATTGACATACACCAAGCCTCCCATTTCCAGTCCTAGGTCACTCTCATTACCGCACCTCCTCCATAGCCTCTGCAAACGCTCACTCACCCGCGGTACATTACCGCCTTCCTGGCCATCCCAGCCAAACCTTGGATCACCACTTCCAGCTTCCATCACCACGCTCGCCGTGCACACCACCACCGACCACCATCACCCCCAAACCCACCGAGAGGTAACACAGACCTATGTAATTAGGCCACAGCACATAAACACACAACATAGGTTTCATCAGGACGTTCTACGTGTAGCATAGCATAGCCACAAAACGTGTTGGCCACGCGCCAAACCTGAAAAAGAGGGGTACCATCCCAAAACAACGGGACAGATATAGTTCATCTTCCATGGCTTCGAAGGCGATGAGCGTGGCAGCGGAGAAGGTAGGGGCGGCGGCGCGCCGCCAAGCGGTGTCGCTGACGGACGCTGCTGCTTCGCGAATACGGCACCTGCTACAGCAGCGTCAGAGGCCCTTCTTGAAGCTCGGAGTCAAGGCTCGCGGCTGTAACGGCTTATCCTACACCCTCAATTACGCAGATGAAAAAGGAAAGTTTGATGAGTTGGTTGAGGATAAGGGTGTTAAGATATTGATTGATCCAAAGGCCCTTATACATGTCATTGGAACTAAAATGGAGTTTGTGGATGACAAACTGAGGTAAATGTTTCTCTTAACACCTTTTCTTCATGATTAACTTGTATTTTCTTTTGCTTTGCTATTTTTTATTGAATTGTGTTTTGAGACTAGATGATAAATCTCTCTCTATAAGCAGTTTTCGTTGGGAATTGGGAAACTGATATGTGAAGATTATTGTTTTAAACTGCTTCATCTACATCAAGATCAGTTGTTGATTGCTTAACCTTTTCCGCTGGTTGTTTTTAGGATATAGAAATTCATCCTATACCAAGTATACAGTTTCCGTGGGAGTTTTCTGATATTAGAAAATATTCATATTTTTAATAACCAATGCATTTGTTAGTCTTGTGAATTGAATCTGCTGTGCCAATTTTCTGGCTGTAAAGTCGAAAATACTTTAGTATTAAGTCTCATTCAAAGTTGATATTAGGGATTTTTGTCTATTCTGGTTCTGGCAGTTCAAATTGAACTCATTATGACATGATAGCACATGAACGAAAGTAGATCCGATGTTTAACCTTGTTATTTGGGTACTTGTAATTGAATACTTCTAGATGTATTTGTGTTCTAATTGATCTTAATGATTGTTCTCTACCCTATATCTAATATAGAAGAGCATGGAACTACAAACTATGTGTCCTAGTAGGTAAATTTAAAAACTTATCTTAGAACTGAAACTCGACACGAATGATGTAATTTAATCATCAAATGATACTTGATTACTTCCAAAATACATATAGAATCATTTTTAGGGGAATTTAGTTTATAAAAGATATCATCAATCTTTGTATTAATGTGTATGAATGCTTAGGTAAGTAACTATATTATGTTATTATAAAGGAGAACCACTTAATTAGTCTATTGTGGACGAATATGGTCATAATGTCACAAAATATATTAGTTGTGCAGGAATTGTGACTCAAAAACAAATATATTCAAAGCTTGTGGCAGATATAGATTAAACACATGTTACTCTGTATGAAATCTTCTCATCACAAAACTTTCTCCTCATGCAAAACGTGCCCTTTTACAGAGTTTAAATCACTTGCAAAATATGTCCTTACTACGCACATAACATACACACCCAGCAAGTTTCATCTAAATATATCCGTTCAATTAATCTCAATGAATTAACTCATCCAATTTGCTAGGAAGCCTCCTTTCTTCTACTAACACCTGAATGTCCCATAGCCAGGGCTGACCCCTCTACTTGAATTAGCTAGTATCTTGTAATCTTTACTTCTCTATCTACTTTGGTAGCTTTCTTCCCGTGAGAGGGACTTGCAAGATAATTTGTTACTTCGAAGCTTATTCATTCTCTTTCTTGGTGCGCATGAAAAAGAAAAAAATGAATGAATTTTCTATTTAATCAATTACTTGGAGGGTGAAAATGAGGGAGAATGACGAGCTTAGCTCGTTAATAATGGGCGCTTTCCTCATTATTCCCTACTTACACAATGTTTTATCACCTTGAAGTCCCTTCCGATCCCCAATAACTTTTAATAATCATCCATTATCTTGGTAATTAGAGACATTCTATTATTCTCCTGGAACAAATGGCTTTGATCTATTAGGAGTAGTTCCTTGTCATAATTTGTATAACTTGAACTTGCTCCAAATTTTAGCGTGAATATCATTGTTACGTGATTTCCTAATACCTCCTTATTACTTCAACAATGTTATGTCTACCCTTGCTCGTTTTCTAATGTTAAATCTCCATAATTAACTTTATTACAAGTTGAAATTATATTTTGGCAACGGGAGGATTTTTCCGCCGTGTTGTGTAATGTTTGTTTCTGATTCTCTCTTATTAGCTCTGGAATGTCCGGTTTGATTTTCGATTCTGGACTGGTCTGGGTTTTGGTCGTGTGGTACCAGACTAAGCTGATTGAGGGAGTGTACATTTTGTATTTCCTAAAAATTTGACTGTATTGTTTGGACTGCTCGAACTTGCACGTGTGAGATTGGAGCTTTTTGTTATTTGACGTGGATTGTAAATATTTTGGACTGCATTTTTGTCTGCATTAAAATGTCTTGATGTCATTTGGGACCTAGAATATATATGCTCGGAATGCGAGTTATGTACGGAATGCGTACTATGGTCGGAATGCAACCTATGCTCGAAATATGAGCTATGTGCAAAATGTGTACTATGATCGGAATGCGACCTATGCTCGAAATACGAGTTATGTGCAAAATGCGCACTATGTACAAAATACGTACTATGGTTAGAATGTGACCTAGACTCGAAACGCGAGCTATGTGCGAAATGCGTACTCTGTACAAAATACGTACTATGATCAGAATGTGACCTAGACTCGAAACGCGAGCTATGTGCGAAATGCGCACTATGTATGAAATACGTATTATGGTCAGAATGTGACCTAGACTCGAAATGCGAGCTATGCTCGAAATGCGTACTATGGTTGGAATGCGACCTATGCTTGAAATGCGAGATATGTGCGAAATGCGCACTACGGTTGGAATGCGACCTATGCTCGAAATGCGAGCTATGTGCGAAATGTGCACTATGGTCGGAATGCGACCTATGCTCGAAATGCGAGCTATGTGCGAAATGCGCACTATGGTCGAAATGCGACCTAAGCAGGTTAATCTTCGTCTAAATTTAAGTACACGCGGAAACAATTTTCACACTCTACATCAAGACGATGGTCACTGTAAGTATAATTTTTAAGGGTTGTTTATTTCCTTTAAGTGGTTGAACTTTGCAATTATATCATGAAATATTAAGAAATGAAGTATATTCGACGTTTATTTCGGTTTTTAGTCTTTGCATTAGAAATATTTTTCTAATTTAAGACTTAGGGGTTGTGGTATGTGCATAGAGATTGGGTCTGGTTGGGCTCGGGTCCAATTGCATGAGTAAAGTGGGTCAAAATAAACCTATTTGGGGGAGATGGACTTGATTGATACCTAATGGGCCCAATGTGTAGATAGTACGGGAAATAAGATATTATTGGGTCCGATAGATGCGCCAGGAGAAAAACCCTAAAAAGGGAAATTTGATTATAGAGGACACGGGAAAAAACCTAAAGAGACATCTCTCTTTTATTCCGATACTGATTATATATTTCTAAAATTTGTTTATATAGTAAAATCGGATTATTAATAAATGGTTATAATCGTTATTTTAATTGATTAAAATATTGAATTATAAGATTTAGAATTTCTCCAAGTTTCTCATAAGATGAGATCAAGACAAAGATCTCATATTCTTGAGAGGACATTTTCTTATAAAGAAATCGAGTGATTTAAAAAAAAATCAAAAGATAGGACAAAATTGATAATTTAGAAAAATTGAGAGTGAAAAAGGAATCAAAATTTTTAGAAAAAAAAATGAATGTTAAAAAATCGAGTTATAAAAATATCGAGGAAACCTTGGAAATGGAGATTCAATTATCGATTTAGTTAAAATCGATAATTCCATAAAAAATAGAGAATTAAGTAAAAATCGAAAACATAGAAAAATTGAGAGTTAAGTAGAAATCAAAAGCATAGAAAAATCGAAAGCCTCGTAACACTATATCGAAACACAAGGATATCGATATTTTTTATCAAGACTTGATTAATAAAACATTGAAGCATAGTGTTATCGAAGGTTTTATCAAGATTTATCAAAACTTGTCCAAATACCTTAACTTCAAAAATTTTCTCATCAACACTTTAAAAACCATCTAGATACATTAACATCTAGATTTTTCATCGAGACTTCAGAAAAATATTGAGATACAGTAACTTCAAATTTTTTATCGAGACTTCAGAAAAACATTGAGATACAATAAATTCAATTTTTTTATCGAGACTTATTGAAAACAAATCGATATCAAAACTTTTGATTATCACCGATTAAGAAAGAACTTCTTATCAAATTGATTATTGGAACAAATTGATATCAAAACTTTTGATCGATATTTCTGGAAAATTAGATTAAATGAAATCTTATTTTATTCTTTTAATACAAAGAGATCATACAAGATATATACAGAAGACTTAAGCTATTTTAGAAAATATAATAACTCTAGTTTATTCTAGGATCCTTTGATTTATGAGATTGTTCCTAATTGTTCAAATTTGTATAGATTACAATTTTTCTAATTAATTCTTTCCTAAAATATTATTTGATTTCCCACACTCCCCCTCAAACTGGTGAATATGTGTTTTTCATTCCCAGCTTGGATACAATCTTCTCAAAATTGTGGTAGCTCAGTCCTTTGGTAAGAATGTCTGTAATTTGGTCTTGAGAGGACACATATGGAGTGCATATCAAGCCATTATCAAGCTTTTCTTTGATGAAGTGTCTGTCTACTTCAATATGCTTTGTTCTATCATGCTGTACTGGGTTGTGGGCTATGCTGATTGCTGACTTATTATCACAATAGAGCTTCATAGGTTCTTCCCATTTTATCCTCAAGTCTTTTAAGATGATTTTAAACCATAGCAACTCACATATACCTTGTGTCATGACTCGGAATTTTGCTTCAGCGCTGGACCGAGTCATTACACCCTGGTTTTTGCTTCTCCAAGTCACAAGATTTCCTCCAAGAAAGGTACAATATCCTGTAGTTGACCTCCTATCCACAATTGACCCTGCATAATCAGCATCAGAATAGGCTTCAAGCTTCACATTACCATTCCTTTTGAATAGAATCTCTCTTCCTGGAGTTCCTTTAAGGTACTGTAAAATTATGTGGGTTGCTTGTAAATGGGTCTTGGGTTATGCATAAATTGGCTAATTAAACTCACTGCATAGGCAATATCTGGCCTGATATGCGACAAATATATAAGTGTGTCCGCTAATCGTTGGTACATATCTTTTTTAACAACAATATCTTCTACATTTCCAAGCTTTAGGTTTGGTTCTAATGGGGTACTAGCAGGTTTGCAAGTTGTCTTGCCAATTTCCTTGAGCAAATCAATGATGTATTTCTGCTGGGATATAAATATCCCTTTCTTGGAGTGGGCAACCTCAATTCCCAAAAAATATTTTAGTTTTTCCAAGGTCTTGATTTCAAATTCTTTGCCTAAGCATTGACTCAACAATTGCTTCTCTTCTTTATTATCTCCAGTTAATATTATGTCATTCACATACACCAATAATATTGTTACTCCCTTTGACTTGGAATGTTTAAAGAACATAGTATGGTCCCCTTGGCTTTGTTTGTAACCCAAACCTGTCATAACTTTAGTAAACCTGCCAAACCATGCACGGGGGAACTGTTTTAGCTCATATAATACCTTTTTCAACTTGCAAATAATGTTGGCAACAACATCTCTACCATATCCCGAAGGTATCTCAATATAAATTTCTTCTTCAAGGTCTCCATGTAGGAAAACATTCTTAACATCAAATTGTTCCAAGTTCCAACCATAATTGGCAGCAAGGGACAATATCATCCTAACTGTGTTCATTTTGACAATTTGAGCAAAGGTCTCCAAATAATCAACTCTATAGGTTTGGGTGAACCCTTTGGCAACTAGTCTTGCCTTATATCTCTCAATTGATCCATCAACCTTGTATTTCACTGTATAGACCCACTTACATCCAACTGGCTTCTTTCCTATTGGTAAGGTGACTAACTCCTAGGTGTTGTTCTTCTCCAATGCCTCAATCTCTACATCCATGGCTTGCCTCCATTTTCTGTCAGACAATGCCTCAGATAGGGTATTAGGTAGAAGTACAGTGTTTAGGTTTACTAGGAAGGTTTTATGGGTAGGATAGAAATTTTAAAGGACAGGTAATTTGAGAGAGGGTAGAGTAGTTGTTTGGTGCATTTTCTTGTCCCTTTTCTAATGGCAATTGGGAGGTCAGGATAATTTTGGGTTTCAATTTCAACCTGCACAACTGGAGAAAAGATTGTTACCTCTTCTTGTGGAGTTGAGTTGGATTCTTGAACATGGCTAGATCCTGGAATGACCTTAGTCTTCCTTGAGTACACCAAATTTTCCAGCTTCAACAACTTCTTGATCAGCTTCACAATTAATTTCACTTTCTTGACCAACTTCCTTTTCTTGACCAATTCCTTGACTTGTTTCACTTGTTACAACTTCAATTTGATCTTGTTTAGGTTCAAATATCAAGTCTGGAAGAATGGAAAAACCAGAATTACTATTTTCAATTTGATCTCATTTAGGTTCAAATATAAAGTCTGGAAGAATGGGAAAACTAAAATTACTACTTTCTTTATCTTTCTTATCTTCCCTGAAACTCTCCCCCTAAAGATAAAGTTGATGGAAATAACCCTCTTGTTCATTGAAGGTAACATCCCTAGACACAAAATTTTTTTTTGGATGGGAGATGGTAGCATTTATACCCTTTCTGAGTGGGTGAGTAACCAACAAAGAAACACTTTAAGGCTCTAGGATCAGTTTCCCCCCTGTTTGTACTACGAATATGGACATATGAGATGCGCCCAAAAACTCTTGGTTTAAGATTATTTGTAGTGAACAGGTTTGGATAGAAAGACGACAAAGCTTCCATAGGGCTTTTTGATCCTAAGACTCTGGAGGGTAGTCTATTGATAAGGTATGTTGCTATAAGGACAACTTTCCTCCATAAATTTTTTGGGACACTTTTTTGGAACAACAATGCCCGAGTCTGATTTAATAAATGTCCATTTTTCTTCTCTGCAACCCCATTCTGCTGTGGTATTTTTACACAAGAGGGCTCATGAATTATACCTTCTTTTTGACAAAAAGAATTAAGGACATGATTGAAGTAATCTTTGGCATTATCTGACCTAAGCCTCTTAATATTAACACCAAACTGATTTTTTATCAAGGAGTGAAAGTTTAGGAAGACATAACTGACTTCTGATTTTTGTTTAAGTAGGAAAACTCAAGTGACCCTTGTACATTCATCTATAAAGGTGACAAACCATCGAGCACCAGACACATTTGGAACATTA